TAGGCTAAGTTTACATTATAAGTAAAGTTTTTCATCATTGCACCTAAAAATACATATATTTTTTTTTTATGTAGGAAGGCAATTTTTCATTCCACAAGTCTGATTATTATTTGAAATATACGATTCCTATCTGAAAATTGCTAGTGTAGCTTGAAATTCCTTATTGACAATACTGAAGAGCAAGGAACTTAAGTAGGTACTTTAAATTAAAAAATGAAAACGCCAGCTGAAAATGAAGTATATTTGCTTAGCTCCGTTTCATTTTGCTCTTCTTTTTTCTCCTCGAAAATATGCCGGCGAGCCTGATATGTTTGCTTAGCAAACTGCATTTTTGAGCACGCTTTCTAATTTAAATTAACTAGGTAGACATTAATCATTTGAAGGCTAGTATTTATAATTTATCTAGGAATTCTTTGGTCGAAGTTTAACCGTTTTATATTAGGGCCTTGCTTTAATATCACATATTATTCGCGACTTTAAAGTAGGATAAATTCGGGAAGCGAGAGAGATTCAGATAACGCCCCTTAATGTAGAATTATCAGGTTATTTTAGGTGGCATAAATAGAATTAAGGGGATGTGTGGGATTTTGTTAACAGTATGGTTAGGTGTGTTTAGGTACGAAAACTGTTGCCAAAATACGATTTAACTGAATCTCCAGAAATGATTATCAGATATCGTAGACTGCAAACAATGAAAGTGAACATCCAATACCCTATACAAAGTTTTGGTAAATCTAGAGTTTTGATATGAGGCCTAAGCCAGGGGGAGTTTGGCGGTTTAGTCACAGATTAAAATCAAGTTCTCAATAAAGGAAGAGTATTTGATGAATTGTAACGTGCCAAAACTGCCTTTAACTATTTTACACTTATTTTCAGTTTTCCATTCAAAATTCCTATAGATATTTAATTTTTATTCTATTTTCACTTGTGAGTAGTTCTTGTTGACGACTTTTTCCTCGGCTTTAATCAATATTTTAATTCCATTTCTCCAATCAAATTTCAAGAAGTAAACAAATCAACTATCTCTTATTCTTGGTTGAGGTTTTCCAGATCGTGGTCCGTTCACGGAGCGTGTACTGCACGTACTCTGTTCGGTTGCTGAACTCAATAACAGATTTAGTTCTGTATCCGTTCCATCATTGGTTCCATAAACCACTGGATTCCTCTCTTTGCTCTCTATTTTAAAGTGACACTCAAGTCATGTCACTCATGATTTCTGTACCAGCTGACGGCAGAAGGGTCGTTCATTTTTGTCAATTGGCCCACAGATCATTGGCCTATCAATCAGTAATGTTTTCAGGATCATCGATTCCTTTACAAGCGTTCACCTTCTGCAACGCGAATTGCTTAATCAATGTCGTGTTCTTCAAATTATGATTGTTCTAGTGGTGGGAGTTCTATCGGACTGGAGCGAAGGCATATTGCGTTAATGTGGAGAAAGAGTTGACTGAAAAAGTCAAAGGCGTGCCTGACTATGTCACCAAGGAAAAACTTAGTTTTGAGGATTACAAGGCTGCAGGTACGCTTATCCATCGGCAAATGAATACTTTCCGTTCGCATAAACATGATATGTACATCGAACTTAAGCATAGGGTAGCCTTGTCTTACGCGGACGACAAACGCTACGTTATACCCGGTACAGAGTACACGCTTGCTTGGGGACATAGAGATATAGAATTGTATAAGAAATCATCGGATATTCCCAAGAGTCAAGACTAATTACGGTAGCTTTCGCTTCAATCACTTTCGGTATCGGTAGATGAGAGAATACTTTTGGTTATAGTTTAAGATTTTTGGGTTAAGACTCCACAGAGAAGCCATAGAGATACAGAAACACCACAACAAATTCAATGGAAAGAAAGCAGGCACGAACTTCAACAAAAGCTGGTTGCCAGTTCTCCGAAAAACAAAGACCCGCGCATAACACTGGATATAAATAACGCAGGTCTAGGTTTTCCAGATCTAGGTAGGTCAAGGTTTTCCAGATCGTAGTCCGTTCACGTGTGTACAGCACTCTGCACGTACTCTGTTCGGTTGCTGAACTCAGTACCAGATTCAGTTCTGCATCCGGTTCCATCATTGGTTCCATAAACCACCGGATTTCTCTCTTTGCTCTCTATTTTACACTTAAGTCATGTGACTCATGATTTATGTACCAGCTGACGGCAGAAAGGTCGATCATTTTTGTCAATGGCATGTAATATTGACAGTTGAGTTGTAGAGGGCACTATTGTACTTGGAGCTCTTTAAATTTTGGCGCGTGAATAATCAAGTGTAATTTCAATTTCAGAAGTTTAGTTTGACGTGTGGTTTCAAGACAAGCTGACGCTAGGCTTTTTGTGTGACAAAGCCGGCCTTTTCCACTATGCCAGGCTTTATGAACTACGGAGAATATGGCCCTGGATGTTTTGAAGGATATTTTAACTTATTCACTGTCCGTTGTTTATATTTAGTCATCTTTCCTTCAACTCATTCATACGTTTTAAAACTATTGACATTTACCGCTAAAATTCAAAGCATTCCAGGTTCACTCGCACCCTCTACAAAATTTTGCGGAACTTAACCGGATATTTGCTGCGATTGGCCTTTCAATTAGTAATGTTTTTGGGATCATCGATTCGTGTGTCTAATGTCACGTCATGTCGTATTCTTCCAATTATGATTGTTCTAGTGGTTAATTACTTGTTGTTGTTATCATTAGTCGTCAGCTGTTGTCATGTTTCTCAGTTTATATTGTTGTGTGTAATTTTTGATACTTGCAATCCTCCTCGATTTTTGTCTGATATTTGTCGATACTTTGCCTCATCTCTACTCTTTACCTTTAGGGCAGCTAATTGGATTTATGTGGTGCTTCTTTCTTTCACGTTTGATGGTTCCGAGAAAAAGGTCTTCCTGAAGATGTTAAATTTTATTTTGGCCTTTGAGGGATTTTGATCTTATATTCTCAATTATTGAATTTATGGTACATTGAGTCGCGTTACGTTACGTTACGTTTTCGTAAAGTCCGATAATTGGCTAAAATCTGGCCACCATCAGATAATAATTCATGTCTCGTTACCTACCAATTATTTCAATGCGACATCATCATTCGAAATTTGGTTTCACGCCGAGACCCAAACCATATGGCCCCGTTTTTAGGCAAGCCCCAAATATTCTTTTTAAATAAATATTATTTCTGCCGCTGATAACAAGTTTTGCGAACTTGCTTAATTTATTCGAAATTCTGTTATCTCATTAACGGAAACCGCATTTCCTGGCGATAATACTTCACGTTCAAAATCAAAGCTTAGTTAGTTAGATTCTAGTAGGTAGGTATTCTAGTATATTATATACACAGCTTTATTCGGTCATCGAATATATACAAAGATGAGATACTTAACTCTTTCGCATTCTGAACCAATATGATTTTGTTCTTCCATGTTACGACGCGGTTTTTTTGGAATATTTTGCTCAGTATATGTTGCAACAACTCTTCTCCATTCATTTTGATTCTGCGCTAGTCTTCCCAGTTTAACGCCGATTGATCATTAGTGGAAAGCTGCCCTGAGGAGTAGAGTAAAGATCACCTCAATCACTCCAGGATTTCGAATCCAGACCTCGATCCAGATTAATCCAGACAGGTGAGGCGTAACGTAATAACCACAGATTTTCTTTGCAGCTTGAACATGAAAATTAACATTTTCTTTTCTTTCAAATATATCTCATTCTATTTTTTACAAAAAAATTATATATATAAATATTTTTCAAGGGCTATAGTTTAACCTTGTAAATTAACTATCAAGATTGACTAAGTGACATTAAAGTTACATTCATTTGCTTGTGGTTCATTTCAACGTGCCTAGCTTAGCCTTGGCTAAGGTTAAGTTACAAATACAGAGTGCTGTGGTTTTTTCTTACGGCCACAAATTTAGGTATACGGCCAGCCCTTTCAACTGAAGGCTACACATTTAATTGTACGGCAACCTCCATCGGAGCCTACACAGTTGTCAAGCTACCTCTACCAGAGCCAACACCTTTTTGAACAGTTATACCTTTGTTTTGGTACTGTTGAACCGTACGACTGGTTTGACCATAACAGCCACAACCTGTAACCAGGACCAACCAGGTAAATTGAACCTGTTGCCATCACTTATTGGAACATATTGGTATCATGCTAGCTCTAGTATAGGAACCCATTGTTGTAATTTTACCTTCAATTTAATACATTTTGCCCCTATTTTGTGCGCCAAAGTGATCACCACGGTACGTTAGGGTGTAATTAAGTAGGTACATGATTTTAGGGAGCGACCCTCTCACTCTTGTATATAAAACTAAGACTCACGACTGCTATTCTAGGAAACAAAACAATATTCGTATGATAAGTATGTGAACTTCTAAAGACAAATCGATTCTGCCCGACTTGTTGAGACCAAAAAATAGGGAAATAAAAGACCATAAAGTGGTGTCGTGACACTTGTTGAACGGAAAATTACCGATATCTGATAGATGATTTCCCTTGTACGATTTAAAACGTTTGCCAATCGATCATGCTTCGACTTGTCAGCTGGGCTAGTTAACCGAAACTATCTGCTGCTGAAGTAGGACAAAATGTTTAGTTAAAGTTGCGAGAGGACTACTAGGAATACGTTGCCGTTATAGGCATTAATCAATGTTGGCTCTATAAATTCGGAAGAGGGTTTCTGGAAAGACTTTATAGTTGCAATAAATTAACTTACGCCAAAAGATTGAAGAATCAGTTGGACTCTTCCCACTAGACTAGGGCAGTTGTTTCCATCAACAATACGTTCATTGTGACATAGGTAAGTTGCAATGAATATTGATCTGACAAAGTTTCGTGAAGCACTCAAGTTTATTCTAGATGAAAACTTTTTCAAGCATAAACCAACAATCCAATTATTCTAAAATGATTTTAATTTGAATAGTTAACTGGAATAATAGAAAAAGATGACAATTCGGTGAACATAAATACAAGTTTTATTAAATTTAATGAATAAACTTACCAAACAGAATCAGCAAAAACAAAATTTGTAGTGACGTAGATAAGTTCATTACGTTAGTAGAAGTTTTCATGTCTGAAAAAAATAAAACAATATAAGTTTTGGACGCAATAAATCCATCTATAAGCTTCTTATCTTGAAGTTGCTTAGATATTGAGGGAAAGAAAATATAAGTATTGGGCGAGCCACATATTATCTTCAAAAGATTTGCTAGTATAAAACAAAAAGGTTTACAGAAAACAGATGGGGATATTTTTTTTCGTGTCTGTCTGAGCCCTATGAAATATTCAAGATGTAGTCCCTTCTGGAGTGGGGATCGTTAAAACGCAAAAAAGATTCGTTCGTTTTCAACCAGTACATTATCTTTGTATTTTATTCCACAATCAGCTTAAGTGGATGGAGATATTCTTCATAAGCCTTGGCAATTTTATAGTGTCTGGTGATTATTTGATTTTCATCTAACTATGATGTAACAGACCATCATTGACTTTTAGAGCATGGACGAAAAGTGATCTATCTCTATTCGGGTCGCAAGTTTGTATAGCATGTAGCAGTATGTACATGTCCTATGCACGTGTCCGGCAATCAGAATTCAATTATTTTCTTGCTTTCCTGAATGAGATGTGTTACGATAATTTCATCTGGTGTATTACAAGGAATATTATCCACTCTCCCCAAGATGTGATTCAACTTAGACTGCAGTTCAAGAAACTGTCCACTCTTCTTCGTGTCTGAAAAACCATCAATGACCGGCACCGGTCCATCCAATTTCTTTGCCACTGCCTCTACGTCGATTTGGAATGAGAAAGGATATGGTGGATAGTGTAAACTTTCATTCTGCCTTTCCATTTGTCTTGCTCAAGTAAAGTGACATCTCATTTCCTCCACTGTACCTATACCTATACCTCTCCATCTCATCTCATAGTCAAGCTCATCATTGTCCAGCCGGTCGATTTCTATCTTTCTTTACATGACGACACCAATACAATAGCACTATTATATAAAATAAACTAATATACATGTATGTATCTTGTAGATTCAATAAATCACCCAAGAACTAAATATTCACAACTATTCCTATGGATATGATGTTCTACACCAACTAGCACTAATAAAAAAAAAAAAAAAAACGTTTTTCTAACTATAGTCAACACAAATAGATAATCAAGGTAGTGGGGCACAGGAAACCTCTATCAGATAAAAAAAAGGCCTGTAGAAGAACACAAGAATCGCCCAAAACAGTTAAAACAAAAGAGGCCCCACGTTGGGCGCCAAAAACTATGACGCTTTATTTATTACTGCTACAGCTTTTGAACAGTGGAGATGGGTCGGGTTACGAAGAGCTCCAGTTCATGAGAGTGAAACCCCAACATCCATTGAAGAGCTCCGGATTGGAAAGGTACCTATTGTATCAGATCCACCAGAACAACCAAACTGTTAACTGTCAAATTTTAAAGAAAAGTAACATTGTTACTTACACTGTGTACAAATATTAAATGAAATTATTGTTTGTTGGAGTTTGAGTGGTTTCATTTGCACATAAAAGGGCTACACGTTATCTTTATTTTTGATTTTTGAATTCCAAGACCCTATAGGTTCTCTTTTCTTAAAGTACAAATAACTAAATTTATTTGTAACAGTTGATAGTGATATAACATAAGTACATATCTAATAAGAAAAAGCAAATCGTAAGTTAGAATATCCCGCTTGACATTTCGTTATAAGCAAACAAAAGAAATCTATCCCAGTGAATCGAGCTAAGAATTCTAAGAACTCTGTACCGCCATTCTAGGGACACTAACGAAAAGATAATTCCCGCAAAACGGTCTCTGGATGAAAAGCGCTCATTTTTCATCGCCATTTATTGTCTTTTTTTTTCTAAGTTAAAGAAGCAGAAATATAAAATGCACCCTTTGCCATGATTAATGTTTTCCGGGTTGGCAATTTCAACTACTTATTTTTCGTTTTAGGTAATTTGATTTTAAAAAATCTAGCATCCCTTTGATGGCCCATTCTTTGGCTGGCTTGAAGTTAAGAAATATTGGGGAAATTTGCATTTTCCAACAATAATGCAGTTTTGTTGGAAAATATATTGGAAGTAGGTACTAAGCGGCGAAATAAATTTCCTCATGGCATACGCTATACACAAATATTTTCACTTAATAAAAGCTGCACATTTGCATATTAACAAAGGATTGCTAAACTATACAAACCAGAAACTTTATAATTATTATCTATTTTTCATTTTGTTACTTGCAGTAATGATTATAGACAATGGCTCTTTGTTAGTTGAAGTCTTCACTACCTATTGATTTCCATCTTTTAGCCTTAGGATAGATGACTCATAATGAGATTTTCACTTCTTTCTTGTCCCGCTTTTAAAAAGCATCCGGCTATTGTCCCACCATTTCGTTTTCTGTGACGTCTTGAGATTTCTTTTAATTTCAGTTGTCTGTGTTGAAGTTTCGCTATAAATTTCATAAAAATCAATAATTTATATTAAATCGAATTTGAAATATGCGCCAAGTAATATCTGGGAATCGTAGTGTTAATGAAATAATCGTGTCAAGCGAACGGGTGGCTGATGAAGTTTCAGCAATGCCAGATATTAACTAATTTTGTTCCCGTCAATTTTGGGTGGCTCTTGTCGCAATCAGCCCCGGAGATATATTTCTAGGAATTAATATTATGCCAAAGGGCTATCAATAACATTCGGAGAAATATTGGTGCATACTTTTTTTTTTTTTTTTTTTTTGACTTTGACTAAGCAGTCATTCAGCTGTGCATACGAATAAGGGTATTTATTGAAATTTTATTTGCATGATATTCTCTGAATTGTATTTAATTTTCCCATTTTTTGATATCCGTTAAATGTTTATCATCTCAGTTAATGATCAAATTATTGTTGAAGATTTTGGATAATTATATATGTATAAATAATTCACTGATAGATATTGTCGTATCTAGGATAATAGGGCATCGGTTAATTAAACCCAATCGTCTTCCAAAAAAGGTTCATGGGTTTCAGGAAAATCATACATCACGTCACGTTCGAAACATTCAGGTGCAAGTTGAACGAATTAATAAATTACATGAGGAACCTGAACCCATCGAAGGTCAATGTCAACGATGGTTCATCGGTAATTGTTATAATCATAGATCATGCACCAGGGTCGCCGTATTAATATAAAATATTGGTTTTTGGAAGATGAAAAGGTAGTCTACAGACCAAAAATTAACCGCGTTAGTTAGTCAGTAATAATAGTGCATTTTAGTCCTGTGATATTTTTTAGTGTCCATGCCCATATTCTGAAATGTAGGTATTTGTGGTGAGCTTTATTTTAAATACATTTTCCTATATTTTTCCATTTCATAATCCCCAGGTCCGACAATATAAACAATACCATCAGACCACTTTCAGGGAATCTAAACTGAAATCGGAAAAACTATAGAAATAAAAGTGAATATTTGGTTTGGCAAAGTCTGCAGGGAATTCAATTATCACTGGACCATTTTTTTCCATTATTGAAATTATTTTCGAATTCGCTTGAACTTTATTTGCCCTTTTTCTATTAAATTTGATGAATTTTTATTACAAATCAGCCTAGCATAAGCGCATAAATACCCATTAAATACTAATATTAGTTTACCAAACTTTATTAATAAAATAATGCTACAACGAGGTTGATGCGTTTTTTCAAAACCTTTCCACAGGGATTTAGGTTGCGAATTTTATGTCTATAAGTAGGGACCCTTCTTATGTTTTTCCACGATTTGTTTTAATAGCATGTGCTTTATACCATAAAAACATGTCTCGCTAAGGCATATTTTACTGGTGCGATTTAGCAAGGGGGTCTATATATTTCACTTTTGAGTGTCATCTTTACATAAACGATTCCCTCCTCTGGTATACACGTGATATAATGTGGGTTGGCGCCATAGTTCAAGCGACATGTCACATTGTAAAAACACGGGTTGAATAATAACGAGGTGGCTGTGAGACCGCGATACACAAAAAAGTAAATGATCTGGCAAATAACCCCAACGATAACCTGAATATCGTTTAAAATGGAAATTTTTGCCGGTATTATAATTATATTTATATTAATACATTATTCTAGCAATTCCGATCAATGTTATCTGAAGTCAATTATCCCAACGAAATATAGAAACAGGAACGTCTTGTTTATTGAAGCACACCTCCATAATATACCGCCAACCCTTATTGGCGACAATAAATATATTGGGCAAACATTGTGTCACGTTAATCAAATATCCAAAGAGAAATGGACCACAATAAATAATGCATAGAAAATGTTTGTGATATTTATCAAAACGCAAACTTCCCGGTAAACTTAATTTAAATGCACATAAATTTATTAAAAAAGAAAAAACCTTTGTCTCCGAATAATAATTACTTTCGCACTGAAAAGTTGAACAATCTTGATTAAGTATAAAAAGCAATTTCATTGTGACTTTCCATTACAAAACAATCTGGCATTTTAGATTAAAGACAAATAATGCTGTTTTGTTTTAATCAAAACTAAAACTATGATATTAGTAATGAAAATATTCTCAATTTAATCGCTGTCTTGATAAAATCAATAAGATGTTATATGATCATTACAAATAATTTATCATTAATATAACAGTATGGATTAAATTTTGGAAAGAAAACATCCATTGTTAAAGGTGTAGGAACATTTCCAAGCGGTATTATCCTCGCCGCAGTCAAGATTAAGTTGCCGTCGGAAGCAAATCCTAATAAAGTTTTCCCAAATTTATTAGCTTCTTCCGCGATTTTACCAAAGCTGAAAAATATAATAAGAACACTAGCATGAATATTTAAAAGAAAATAACTTCTGGACTTAGGTGAGTTTGTTGTTGCAATACATTTTTTAATATTTCTACTATCTTTGAGACAGGAAATTGTAAGCGTTAAACGTGTATTTTGTATGAAAATTGATGTTGAAATTCTTTCAAAATTTGTATCTTATCTTTCAGGAGAAATAGGGCAGTGCCATATAAAGAGGTGTTTTCCCATCCTTAATCGATCTGTAGATTTGAGCTTACCT